TTGTTCGTTGTGATTTCAAGATTCTTTATTCGTCACATACATAGTTATAACAAGTACAACATGTAGTGAAATGAACCCTGACTGATCATATTTTTCAGTTTTATATTTCAAGACTCGGTGAATTGATTTTTTCTTTTTCCTAACTTAGCCATTTCAGCTAAAGTAGGAGACTGAGTTGATGAGTGTCTGTACTGGCTTGTGTGGCTTAGTGGGCTAAGTGTCTGTGGTTGTGATCAGAAAATCATGGGTTCAAGGCCAGTCTTGGCCTGCCTGTCCTTTATTTTGATTTCGCCTCGATGTCCTTTCCTCACCATTAGTTATGCACCGGTGCCGTTTCAGATAAACTAGGAGACCAAGTTGTTGAATATCTGTACTGGCTTATGTGACTTAGTGGGCTAAGTGTCAGTGCTTGTGATTAGAAGGTCATAGGTTCAAGCCCAACCTTGGTCTGCCTGTGGTTTTAGAGGAAAAGATGGGGTTAAGGTTTGTATGTTATTATAAGTTAAGTTATAATATATTATTATAATGCTGCTGTCACACTTAAGATTGAGACCCTTTCCTAATTGGCATAGGAGGAAGACTTGAACGCTGGTCCTGGGAGTGTGAGGCACTGTTGCTAACCACTACCCTACCAAGCCACTACCCTCCTTTATTTTGATTTTGCCTAGATGTTCCTTCCTCACCATTAGTTATGTACCGGTGCCGTTTCAGGTAAACTAGGAGACCAAGTTGTTTATTATCTGTACTGGCTTGTGTGNAAACCCACACTGCAGTTTAACTAAAAATGAACTTGATTTCAAATGAAAATTTGAAATTATTAAATGACTAGTATTTGTATATTTATATTTTTATGCATTTAAAGGTCGAAAAAGAGTTTGTGCTGCAAACATTTCCAAAAATTCTAAAACAGAATTCGGGTGTAAAGATTATTGGATCCATACTTTGTTTCAGCCCAGCCTGACTGACAAAGGGTGGATCTCAGTGCCCCCCCCGGGAAGGGGGTCAGTAGCTATACAGATTCCATGGTCGCCATGGACACGCAAACTCGTTTACTTGATGATAATCTCTCTTTGTCCCCAGCAATTCAGCTTGGACATTGCGGAGAATGCCTCGACTGTGTGCCTCGCTCACCTCTTCACCTACCAGGACTTCGACGAGGGGACGCTGGGCTTGGCGTATGTGGCCCCCTCCAGGTCAATGGACGGATCCTCGCACTCCAAAGCTCCAGGCCTGGGCGGCCTCTGCTCAGGGGGTGTGTACTTTGCAAAAGTCTTGCGCAGTCAAAGAACACGATGTCTGATTGGTTGGTGTAAAACTATGCTGTTAAGCTTGTCAAAATATGTTAGCTTAACCTTTTCAAAACCTCTGCTAAAATGACTCCATTACTTCCAGCAAACATATAATACATCCGTGTGTTTTTTGACTCGATCACTAGCACATCTCATATAGCTAATCAATATCACATTGATTTTTTTAGTTAATTTAAGTTAATTGAAGCTGGTGGTGAAATTTAATAAATACGTGGATTGGCCTGGGCGTCCAATTTAGACACCAGTAAGTTTTTGGAGAACAGAAGAAATTTTTACTAGTTTTTATTATATTACTTTTAATGTGCATGTGTTCTAATGCTTGTGTTTTTGTTTTGACAAAATGTGCATTTACTATCCAGATAAATAGCTTTAAACATTTCTTTTGACTATCTAAGATTTTTGCACAGTACTGTGATTGGCCATTTTCTTGTAACCGTTCCAGTTAGTGGTGTATCGAAAGGCTTATCCACGGAATAGATTTTAGCCTCTGTGACCACCTGACTTTGTCATGTGACCTCCTGCCATTTTACTTCCTGCTCTAATGATCAGACTGCATGGACAGGAAGTAGCCACAGTCTGAGTATGTGAGACATGTTAGTCATTGTCGTTCGGTTGGATGTTTTCGTTTCAGCATACACTCCTCCTGGAACTAAGAAGCGGACTTACTTAAACACCGGCTTAACCAGCACTAAGAATTATGGGAAAACTATCCTTACGAAGGTAGCTTTTATATACCTTAACATTATTAAATATTTTGACATTTTAAAAAGGACAGTGTACTGCAGTAACTGAACAGAACTCAACAAACTGACAAAACGTTGAATAGTGAGACGTTTTCCAACAGGAGGCCGACCTGGTCACCACTCATGAGCTGGGCCACAATTTCGGAGCCGAGCATGACCCCGATAACATCGCTCACTGTGCCCCCAGCGACGACAACGGGGGCAAGTATGTCATGTATCCCATAGCAGTGAGCGGGGATCATGTCAACAACAAGGTACCAGTCTATTCGCTTGCCAGAATCTCAGAGGCTCCTTTTGGGGTCTTTGTATTGGGGCTTGTGGCTCTGAATCAAGAGTTTTTTATAGGTAGGTTACTAAGTAACAGAAAGGAATGTTGTGTCAGGCTGAGGTGATGTAGGCTTCCGTTACCCGCCCCCACCTTTATAACCCCCCCCCCCCCCCCCCCCCCCCCCCCCCCCCCCCTGGGTGGTATCCATCCCTAATATCAGCACCCGCTCTCATTTTTGAAGATTTGTTTGGAATAAATAGATTAAAATCTTTTGCGTGAATTTGTGAAAATGAACACTTCCAAATTAAAGCACAAAATCACACTGGCCTGGGTACTGAGCGTATTTCTCCACTGACCGGTGTGTTAAAGGGTGTTACCCTGCTTCACAAAGCACGAACGTGTTGGGGATGAAATTGCATGTAAGCCAACAGCTAAACAAATGGTGTCTTCATTTTGCTGCAGTTAAAGTTCCCTCTTGTTTTATTTTTTCCTTTCTCAAAGGTATTTTAAGCTTTACTTGACGAGCAACAGAAACCTATTTGCTAAAGACTTCAAAGTGGAGTTTCTAGATGGCAGTGGCCAGCGGAAGAGGTACGATGTTCAGTTGCAGAACTACTTCAGCGGACATGTCGTGGGTGAGGATCCGCAGCGTGATGGAAATGTCGGTGAAGTTTGCCTGGCACTTTTTCCGTCGTCATGGTAACAGTGTCTCCGCCTCCTTCGAAGGGGAGGAGCATTCTCGTGTGCAGGCACACATAGACGGCAGCGAATTCTCGGCCCACATTCTGACCGACGAAGCAGAGTACAACGTTGAGGTAATGCCATTGTTAGCATCCTTGAGTGCCGTGTGTCTAGTAGTAATTTGGGGAATGTGTAAGATCTAGTGTTATAGTTTTGTTTTTATAATTTAGTGCGTTTTATATTTTCAATCCAGTTTACTTTTCGGTGTGGTTGTATTCCATTTTATACATTTTTAAGTTATACTTAAATTTAGTTTATATATATATATATATATATATATATATATATATATAAAAAAATACACTGCATGTGTGTCTATATATAAGTATGTGTGTGCTTATGTGTATATATAGTATGTATGTATGTGTGTGTGTATGTGTATATATAATATGTATGTGTGTATGTGTATTTTCTAGCTTCAGTTAGTAATTTTATTCCTAGGGATAGACTGACAGTTGAGCTACTTTATGGGTCTGATCTTTAGATAATCCTACATGAGTACACAGTTTGCGTTAAGTACTAATGGGCAAAACGTGTCCCAGGTTATTAATGTTATTTAAACATAAATCATTACTTTAAATAGCAGTATTAGTTGTAGTTTTTTTAAATTCTATGTTTGTCTCCTTATTTGATTTTAGTTTACGAAGATGCTTTCTTTTAGTTTTCGTAACGATGATAACCCTAGTAAGATCGCAATTAGCAATTGCAATGCATTCTCCATTTACTTGATCTCCGAATTGCGTGTTTTTGATCTTTGTGGTGGTGTTAACTTTGAGCCTAGAGTAAAGTAAATATTAGGAAGAATCTATTTAAAAATGACAGTTCCATTATGCCAATAAGTTAGTTTTTAACCAAGGCCTGAGAGATCTTTAATGAAATCTTAAAAAATCCATTAAAAAGCCTTCGTGACTGGGTCTCTTACCTCAGCCCCTGTGGAGGTTCACGGAAAAGCCCGATGATGACCGGCTGCTCGTGTATCGCTCTGAGGACATCCGCAATATCAGCCGCATCGCCTCACCCAAGGTGTGCGGCTACGTCCAGGCCAAGGAGCTCATTCCGGAGGGCGCTCAGACCATGGGAGAAGAGGAGGTGGAAGGCCTGGAGCACGGTGAGGAGGGTGGCGCCGTGCTGGCGAAACGGCGGCTTAAAAGATCGCGTATCCAAGCTAACAAAATACAGCAGCTAAAGGAAAAGAGAAGCAGGGAGCTGGGTGGCAGGGTGGCCATCTTGGTGTAAACAGGAAGCAGGGAGCTGGAGAGTAGGGTGGCCATCTTGGTGTAAACATGAAGCAGGGAGCTGGATGGCAGGGTGGCCATCTTGGTGTAAGCAGGCAGCTGGATAGTAGGGTGGCCATCTTAGTGTAAACAGGAAGCAGGTGACTCCTGTTCTGACTGAGCCACATGTGCTGCTGCGCAGGGCACCTCCACCGGGAGAAGAGGCAGGCTCACAGCCACAAGAAAAATACCTGTCCCCTGCTACTGGTGGCCGACTATCGCTTCTTTACCTACATGGGCCGCAAAGAGGAGAGCACTACCCTGAACTACCTGGTGAGAGATGGGGCTCTGGAAGCGCGGTACTGGGGTAAAAACAAGGTTCTTCCTGTTCCTGGGCTAACCATGCTCTTCCAGGCACAAACACTCAGGCAGAACTGGGGTTCAGGGTTTTTTTTTTTATCATTCAATAATTTATGAGAGATTCCATCTGACAAATGGATTGTTTGACCCATCATGATTTTCACTGCCTCTTTTGTGTTTATTTAATTTATTTTTTTGCCCCCTTCAGATTGAACTGATCGATCGCGTGGACGACATCTACCGGAACACTTCCTGGGATGATGAATTTAAGGGATACGGTGTGCAAATCCAGCAGGTGGCTCCACATTTAACATTAAATGTAGTTTTTCTAAAGCTTCGTTTACCTTTTGGTGGTGTATCGTAAACCTGCGTTTTTCTTGCGCTATCGCTTAGATAATCATCAATAAGGAGCCCACCAAAGTTAACAATGAAGTGCACTATAACATGGAAGGGAGTCCGGACAAGACCAAAGACGTGTGGGACGTCAAGAAGCTGCTGGAGGTGAGCAGGTTCATGATCATTAACGAGAAGTAAAACGATAAGAAGATATTTTCGTAAATTGAAATAAGGCACAAAAATAAAATGGTACAACTAAACGAAAATGTCGCTTTCAAAACTAACAGGAATAAAATGAAAACCAACGTCAAATACTTCCTGTTACTGTTTTTTAAAAACCATTTAGCTAAAGTAATTATTTATCTTTAATTACCATTAATAATAGCTGGGACATGTCCATTTTGAGGACGTGCAAAATGTGCTCTGTGTGGTCGTGTAGGACTCTAAAGATCAGACACATTGTTTTCAGTGTGTCCCAAGGCATACAATTACTAAAACATGAACTAAAATGCATATAAACTAAATATACATGTCTTTAAAATAAAATCAAATGAAACCCACACTGCAGTTTAACTAAAAATGAACTTGATTTCAAATGAAAATTTGAAATTATTAAATGACTAGTATTTGTATATTTATATTTTTATGTATTTTATAGTCGAAAAAGAGTTTGTGCTGCAAACATTTCCAAAAATTCTAAAACAGAATTCGGGTGTAAAGATTATTGGATCCATACTTTGTTTCAGCCCAGC